ATATAGATCTATATCTTTGGAAAAACAGGTTTCTTTCGCAAATACGTTTTATGAAACTGACATATAAAAGGCCCGAGAACGAATAACGTAATCCCACGTGAAAGTCGGCGAAACTCCGACCCCGGATAAAGGTCCTACTATTTTTTTTTTATTTCAAGGGTTGGAGTTTAGAAACGACTACGTTATTCGTCGGCGGAAATGTTACGTACAACGCGCGATTTTCGAGTCCGATCCACGTATATCCCGAACGTGACATGAGTGCCGTTACGGCGGGAATATCATAAGCTTGTTTGCTGACAGTATCAATTTCGGAACAGCGTATGTGCGATTTATCGAACGTGCTCCCCGCGTATTGCCAGCACTAGTGACGTTCCATTTCGTATTGAATGCCACGGATCAAAATCATAATCTATCCATTTCGATTGCACGAACGTGGATACGCCATGGATGTTTGGTATCATTATCGCGAGGCTGGTTATCCCCGTTTTGGTCAATGGGCAACTTTTGTAGACGACTGATACAAGAATAACGACAGAAGAAGGAAAACGTAAAGAAGTTGCGCGAGAACAAGTCGGAAACTCGAATATCTAATCTAAGTATGTAAAATCGAATTTTCAACGACGACGATACATGTAAAATTAATAATAAACTCTGCAAATTGAAAAATAATATGAACTCATAAACAAATTAATATTCTATTGCTATTGTCAAACGTTTCGTTACGATGGATCTTGGTGAGACAGATGTCAGTTCATCCGATAACAGTCTGCAGCTTTGATTGGGATAAAGAAATGATTAAAAAAGTGAACTTTGTACAGGCTACGTTTTCGTAGTTTGAACACGGACGCTACAGGCGGTGATTTGTGCGATTCAGCTATCGATGACATTCACAGCGCTATTTACAGCGATGTATGATGACGATAACAAAGAAAATGGTGTTAATGTCGTGAACCGTGAGAAATTCTGAGCGCGATTAGCTTGTTCTTAGTCGATCCCTACGTCTTTTACATGCGTCATCGTACAATATAATTATCATCGACACTCGACCATGCTGTTGCAAATGATTCATGTTCATTACAGACGATTTATAGATCATCACCCTAGATACTAACTTGGTCTGACTTGGTCTGACTTGGTCGATGAAGGGCAGTTCCACCAATTGCCGTTTAACTCGCCAATCATAGAAAGCCGGATAAGATTCCAGCCTTCTAGTTCTCTATATCAAGTATCGTTCGACTCACCGGGCTTGTAACCGAGATTTTTTCGTTGCAGGAACAAGTGGATCTCGCGGAAGTTTGGTCGGTCAACGTCGTTCCTTTGCCAACACTCGCGCATCAGGTCGTAGATCTCCTTAGGACAATTCTTTGGCAGCGGCAGAATCATCTGTGTGAAATAAGCGCAAGTCGATTCTAACGTCATCGTTTATACGTCTAACGCGAACTGAGCATTTTGTGGTAATGCATAATAAATAAACATGTAAATGTGTAGTTTCGCGTACGAGATAAAAAGCAGATTGTTTACTCTCATTTCAATTTAACGCGATATTATTAAAATAAACGAAACGGAATTAAAAAAGATATTTCGTAATTAATTGTGATATTTATTATGTATAATTAATCGTTCGTAAATATTAATGGTCTGCAAAGCCGAGAGAGCAGAATAACAATTCTTACAGGGCGCGTGGTAGTTTGAAGTACTCTCGACGTTGGTAAAATGAACGCGACGGGCTCGAGTGCGACGCAATATTTATTACATTATATGAATTACTAAGCAAGTAGTTCTGCCATTTTCATGAAAACACATTCGCGACCCACTTTCGTAATTACATGTTCGACACCGCGCGCGTTTATTTAAACCTGCTTTTTCAATGACGTTAATTGTCCTACAGTTAGTCTCAGAGAAACAGAATACGTCCAAACTACTTCCGAAAGGAGCTACGGAAAAAAAGAAGAAGAGAAAAAAAGAATGCAGTAAAAATCTACGGAGTAAGGTAATCTACGGAGTGAGGTAAGGCTGAAAGACGGAATAAATAGCGACGTTCAAAGCTCTGAAAGCTTCGCGAGGCACTCGACGCGAAATCAAGTACTCACTGTGCTCATTACATTAAGTACGCCGGACACAATGAGGAAAGAAGTCAAAGAATTACTCCGCGCACTTACCTTCCGCTCATCCTCCTGATAAAAGTAAGTTGCGTTCTCCACTATCCGATGATCTGGAAACTCTTCGAAAGGCTGTTCCCGTGCGAACGTCAGAATTTCCCACAGCGTGACGGCGAACGCCCAAACGTCGCCCTTGCATGTGTGCCTTCCCTGTATAATGCAAATACATCGAAAAAAATTTTACAAAAGTTCGTTTGTTATATTCGTTAGACAATTTTTTCACTATTTGCAATTTAAGAGCGCTCGAAATTTATTACACTCTGATATAATTGGACAAGTGTATTTTACAATGCGATATATATTTGCGATGAATATTGAATCATAAATATTAATTAATATCAATTCCGTCTGCAATGTTACACGCATATAAGGATTTATTAGGAATAATAATAAAAATATAAATCTTTTTTGCGGCATACACGTTTAAGTTAATATCCGTTTTTGGTAAACCGCAAAAATAATTAAAAGCGCGACTTGCTCGGCGCAGAAACCTAATGTTTGAGCGTGAAGGAGTAATTTATGGAAACTGTATGCGCCTTCGAGTTTCCCAAAGTTCAACCGAGTAACTCAGTTAAACCCAAGCTTCGCGGAACGCCATAAAGCAGTTACATGATTTTACTCTTTTCCTCACATTGACGGTTGGATGTACCTTCCGCTCCCTTTGGCATGTGTATGAGCCGTCAAGCAAAATAATTATATGATAAAATATTAACGACAAACTATATAAAAGCTTTAATAGTAAAAGTTTTATTTAAAATCAGCGATGCAATTATGTAACCATAATGTTTTCTAAAATGACAAAGACAAAAGATAAATACTCTTGTGTTAATTATAAAAAATATAATTACATATTTGCTATTAACAAGGTTTATAATAATTTTGTGAAAACAAATTTATTTCGAATTACTTATAAGATTATGGAAAGAATTATAACGAAAAAAAAAGAACAAAATGTAAATTTAAAAAGGAGATTATAATAAAGTTGGTATATAATATCGAAAATTTGAATCGATTTACGATGAACGATTGTGTATTTGACGTAAACTTACTTCGACTTAGGTACTTAATTATATAATTTCTACTGCCGGTAGTATGCTGAGAAGATTGCATATGCGTGTAGAGTTTGTAGTTTGCTCATGTTTGGGAGGATCTTAAGACATGATTCGATTATTTATGAAGTGCACGATACAAAATTATACGCGCATCATTACTTCTACATTAATTCAAATTGTTGGAGCTAGATAAAGCGCATGCGATGAATAACGATCTATGCAAGTAATGAATCAGTAATAATAATAATAAAATATAATATAATATTAATACATAAAGTAAATATCATTTGAACATATATATAAAAGAAATAAAATAAAAAATACAATTACCCTCTGCAATTATTCTCTGTGTGAATTAATATTTTTCTATTTAAAAAATTTTATTATGTTTCATTTGTTATTTCCGATAAGAAATAAAAAAAATTCTTTAATTAAAAATAAACTAAATATACCGTCATAATGACTTAATAAACTCTGTGATAATAACTTTGCAATTGCCAAATAATTTCTATTATGAAGAATGATCTGCAAGATTTGATATGATCGATATGAAACTATTAAATCGACACTAATCCCAGGTAATTCTTGAAGCGATATTTCGCACGTAGAAACGGGATCATTTCATTAGCGGCACAATGGCGGAGGTTGGATAAATGATGGGCAATAATGAAACATTAATGGCGCAGTCAGTTTGAAACGACGATGCCAACTAGCTATTCAATACTATATTTCCCAGCCTCATTTCTGTTTCGTCGAATTACCATTTTGATATTAATTTGCCATTACACGAGTACGATAAATACACACTTCCGTAAATGACAACAAAGAAAAGAATATCGATATAATATCTATGCATAGTTAATAGATACTAAAATTTAATTTATATCTTTGATGTATAATTAATTTTCCACATGAAATGGTAATCAATGAACAAAAGCGTGTAATAGATTTGAATTTATGTAATATATAAAAAAGTAACGACAACTTCATATAAAAAAGTAACGACAACTTCATAATTCATAAAAGTATTAACAATTTATAAAATTTTTTATCTTTATATCTTAATCATCACATACACATGCATGCACGCACAGAGACTTTTAAAAATTATTTACGACACTTTGCGACATTAAAACAATTAAATCTATAAATTACTATATTTTTAGTTTTATTCTTTGTATATTTAAATAATTAAATACTTAGACTGTCAGTTAAATTTTTTAGTAATTGAGATTTTATGTTTAAGTCGCTTTTACAATCTCTAATTTTCGAATATTTAAAAACCTTATAATTTATAAATATTTATGCGATCAAAATTATTATCCGCATAAATATGTTACATACTGTTACATTGCAAATATACTATTAATTGCGCTGCTATTAAATGTATTATTATTAGTCGTCGTCTGTAGTGTCTGACTATAGCACGGATATTCCACTGATAGCGCGCTCGTAACGTAATGTTTTTAAGCGCCGGCGAAAAAGTTCACTTCCGATAGGTTCTAGTCGGCACATATTTTTCCGAGCACATATTTTTCGCGAAAAGTAAACGTGACTATCTTCCATCGTCGTCTGCGTTGTAACGCCAGCGGAAACAGTCATGTTCGACGCGAAACTCGCGAAGCGGAACGATTGTGTTTGGATTGTCGAGCGGTTAAGCCGAAAAAGCCGCTCAACATCGAAAATGAATTTCCAAACGAGTATCACATATTTTCTCCGGCACTTTTATAGCTCAATGATGCGTATCGCGCGCTGCGATGGGGCAAGCTCAATTCGCTAATGCCAATGTGACCGCAGACGACTCTATCGGCCTGATGTCGAGCGGTTTCGCGGATCAACAGTTTGATATTGACACAGGCAATCGAGAAATTAAAGGCAAGATACATTAAATAAAATGTAAAATCTAATTATCATTCAGAAATAAAAGAAATTAAGCTTTGTGTTTGTCTTAATTTTTGATAAAAAAAGAAATTTAAAAGAAACTTGTTCATTTCCCATGAGTTCAACAGAAATCTTTAATATGATTTATTTTGCGAAATGAGAAAGATTAACAAGAAGAATAATCAAATTACACAATTCTAAATCAATTTTATCACACATGACTTGACGCGTGGTATCGATATCAATCGAGCGATATAATTCGTTTAAAAAACGGAAATATCGGTAAACGTAATCTCATTGGCAATAAAGGAAAGCGCGTTTTACGATTCATTTTGCAATCGTGCACACACACGCGCACACGCACACACACACACACACACACACACACACACACATCTTTGATAATCCATGCATCCATGCAAATGCTTTCCTTTTGATACTTTTGTCACGTTTATAAATTTGTAAGGGATACTTCTTCACTGCAGTAACCATGATGTGCATTTATGATGGATAGCGAAAAAATGACCGCGACTTGGGCAGTGCGCGATGTGTAACGACGGACAGGGGTTTTACTTCCAGATGTGAAAAACAATGGAAAAAAAAGCACACGTCCGAGCGAAACCGAATTTCATCGCGTGAATGCGTAGCCGTAGTTCGTCAAAACGACACGTTCCACCCATGCGTAGAGTGAAATCAAAACGACCCGACGCTCGTCCTCTCGCTTTTGTCCCCCTTTTCTATTTCGCTCGTTTACGAGAGAAAGTCGTTTGTGCCAATTTGATTTATCCTCTTTTTTTTAATCTATAATTCTATCGAACTTTCGCATCGCCGATCTTTATTGCCGCTAACGTGCGAGCGCTCGTCTAAATCGGAAGCTTCCGGGAAAAGCGCACACGCTAACGCCGCACGAGCGCTAAATCTCCCTGCCCAAAGGGGAAAAATATCGAGAGAGAAAGAGAGAGAGAGAGAGAGGAGGGGGGAGCGGGAGAGGAAGAGAGAAAATATCTAGTGTTTAAATGTACAATAACTATTCATTATACACTCACCATTAGCATTGATTCCCATGGCATCCATCGAATCGGTAATGGAGGACGTCCTTCGACACGGAAGTAATCCGCCGCATATGCGCTTCGTCCACTGCCCAAATCAGATACTTTAACGGTACATCCGCGGCACACTATACAATTCCTGAAAAACATTGAAAAATATTCGCCTCTTAATTTCTGTGAAGCCCCCTTCTTTCCCGCCCCGCGGGGATATATAACATATCCCAAAATATTCCCATCTCGCAAATTTTGACTGAAAAACAATAGAATTATTTTTTTGATCAAATTAACACTTCCATTCTTTTTATTAACGCTGGCCGTGAGATCTCTGCTAACTGCACAACTGCAATATTCTATCGGCTCGTATCGAGTATACGGCCAAATGAATATGTGTTTGTGCGTTCTATTTTTTATATTCTGCACGTGGCAGCCGTATCAAAAACAAACAGAAGAGTTTATCGAAATATCGTACAAGCATAACTAAATGCTAGTTTTCCAGTCTATGATTTTTTTCTCGTACAGTTAAAAAAAGATTTTAAATTAATATTTTTTAATTTAATTCTATACGTAGTTATAGACATGTTTAACTTTGTAAAACGTTACATAACACAAAGATATAAAATAAATATGCATTGTAGAGAAAATTGTAAAATAACTTGGTGATAACTGTAAAATAAATCAACAATCATTGGACAATAAATTTTTCAATAATTAACGGATAAGGATTCTTTAATGGAACATCTGCGTGGCTAATGCGTGAAATTGCATCTCATTTGCGAGCTCGTGGAAGCTTGCATTTAAGCAGCTCACGGCAGGTTCATTGCGAGCATGTCGAAAGCGACGGTCGTTTCAAGTTTCGCGCTGATTTGCGCGTAAACCTCGCCGTTTATCGCGCTCCACGGTAAAGGGGTGATTCGTGGAGCGACGAGGGGATGGTTTAGTAGCTGCCACGACGCTTTTATTTTACGCGCAACGCTGGGTACTTTCACACCCGTTGTCAACGTCTGCGCGCTTTGCCTGATTTGCCGGCAAGTTTTTCTACTTCTGGCACCGTAAAAGCCTTGCTCGTCGACCATTTTTTTTTTGTACCCTCGGGAATTCAAACGCAATCGCGCTCTTTTACGATTTGTGAAATCGCCCCGAAACGCGTAAATGCGTGTTAAAATAATTGCGATTAAAATAATTACGATAATTAAGATTTCAACCCTTCGTGTGCGAAATACAAGATATGCCGAAAGACTTAATGAAAATTTCGAAAGACTATTGTTTATGCAAGATAGTTGTAAGTAATCAATAATGTTTTGAGAAAACAGTGTCTGAATTTGCATGACATAAATAACAAATTCGGTTTAGCTATCACTTTGGCTATAATTTGATTTATTTTTCATTCCATTTCTGTTGTGACTTTGATACAATTTTCAAAGATGGTATCTAACATGACATCGTTTACTAACTAATAGTGGAACTATTTGCCGCATTCGCCATTAGAATTTAACTCCGTGAATCAAATTCTATAAATCATGAAATAAATTTCATCCCTTTCGTCTAGCTTCTTGTACCCTTGCTACTGTTGCGACAACGATCGCGCCACGAGGCATGATAATTAAGGTTTACGATTAGAGTTAATAATTCGAACACGTGGCCCGAACCCTTCCGGCCATGCCTATCCCATTCTCTTGCTTTTAATAGCTCTACGATATTGGTTGTCGTGCCGCGCTGCCGGCGCTGTCGGGTTTCAAGAGTTTCCAAATCGCGTGGAGGGTGGAAAAGCGCGGTAGGGGCAAAGCGGAATTGTTACATATATGAAAAGGGAATGAGACGATAAAACAATCGACCACCGTAATAAAGCAATCGTAATGCCCAGAGGCATGCTTTCATACGCTTACAGAGAGACCGAATAGAGTATGCATTTGGTTGTTTGTTTGATGCATGAAACGATTCTGTCTAGCAATCATTGTGAAGCATTGCAGACAGAGATTAAAAACTTTTCTTCCGCAAATAAAATTAAGATCAGATACATTTAATACATTTTCCACTAAAGGTATTGTTATAATAGAATGTATTGCATAACAATTCATTCACAGAGAAACACATTAAAGACATATAATTAATCATATGAATCAATACATGTGATTGTAATGATATGATTGCACATTCTTTTCAATTTCTTTTGATCTTGAAAACTAATATATATATATATATATATATATATATATAAATAAAACAATAAAATACATCTGAAAATTGTTGAATTATTTTATTGCATTAAAATATTAAGAAATCGCCTTTTTTACTGTAAAAATGAAATAAAATTGATTAGTTTATCGGGAATATCTATCATTTCATTTTCCGCGTTCGCTCTCGTATAAGCTTGTCAGAGCGAAAGGAAGATTGACGGGTGGTGCGGTACGTGTATTTAGTTTCGCTTTCAAGACAGCAAACCAATAATATGGCAAACAACAGCTGCTCATTAATGAGCGAGCCCTCAAAGCAACTTATGGGAAACAGCGCACGCTTACCTTGTGGCGAGATCACGATGCACGAAGTCCATTTCCTCGAGATACTTCATACCGGATGCTATTTGCGTGGCCATGTAAACCAATGTGCCGAAACTGCAACATGAAGAACGGGGTTGTGAAGTTTACTCGGAGAAACTCCTCGGTATACATGGCCGAGGCGTTTGTAGCGTCAACGCCACAAACAGCGGACACTCGACAAATATTTTTGACGCAAGTAAAATAAGATATTCCCATTACTTAAACTAGTTTATAAAGTAAATCAAGGAGTTCAGATTAACTTGTCGCGTTCTCTTCCGTAGACGAAGACATATTTTATCTTTCATAACTAAGGACGATGCGAATCATTATAATGAAAAGGAATACTTTTTCTGTACTGGAAGTAAGTAATGCGTGGGATTTAATGTTTCCACTTTAATTTATATCAGAAAAGATTAAGACGACTTCTTTATCTTGTGCATACAATAGACTCGTTTCTTCATTATTTTTATATCTCCAGCAAAATTGAATTTGAAAATTGGATTGAAAATGCGACAAACAGGTATGATCAAGTGTTAGCATTCGCTGAGAAATATTCGTCGACATAGCTACGCACTAGGTTTTTGCTATTTTTGCAATATGTAGGATACGAATCATTTATATTGAAACGAGTCGACTGCGTGGAATTTCTGTGAAAAATACGCCGATAGAATCGTTTCGATGATAACATCCTATCGCACTTAATGTTGTTATGGCATAAATGTATATATACATGAAACGAGAAAATAATTTGGAAAGGAATTGCAAGAAAAATTTGTATTTAGTTAATATATTCCTATCTTATTATTGGTCATATTAGGTAGATTTGTTTTCAAAATTAAAATTTTTGAACTCGCTGCATAAATTATAATATAGAAATAACATTTTATTGGAACAATATCATATGTATAGTATATTATTATATAGTATATTATGTATAGTATATTATTTGTTTTTACACTAATAACAATTTGTAAATGACTTTTCCTTAATGGAAGTATCAGTACAATTATATTATTCAATTGTGATATGTAAAATGTTAACTGCACGAATTGAGTTTGATTTCTACGCACGCTTTCAACTTATTAAAACGGAGGATTTTCAACGTGCGATGTGTCTAATATCGCGCCGTGTAAAAATTACCCGTGCGACTCAACGTTGCGATTCTTAAAGCTTCATTTGCGACGTTGGAGAAATGCGATTCGGTTACCTAGAAAGCGGCGATGCTGAAAGCTCGACTATCCTGGATATTGGATTTGCTCGTGCGACAAACTGACTGCAGTTAAAACGGCGACTCGCAGAAATAAATGAAAACGATTTCATTTATGAATGGCAGTACATATGTATGTCGGCAATTTAATTAACCACGTGGAGAATAATGCCGCAGATGCGGCTGTTAAGCGCAAGTCGTTCGTATACGTAAGCGTTTAAGTCGCGCGCGATAAAATTATATGTACTTGGACGATGCAACGTGCGATTAGCAGCAGATCTATCTTCAGATTTTTCAAAAAATATTCGATGAAAACATACATATATTTCACGTATTATCACAATCAATATTGGCTTTATTTCACATCCTAACAATGTGTAAAAAGAATTAAAAAAAAAAAAATTTGTAAAGGAATTTAGTAAACGAAAATTAAAAACTATGATGGTAGGATACAAAACTAGATATTTTTGTCTATTGTAACTGCGGAATAGTAATAACATATCTCGCATTGCATAGACGCGAATGATTGAATATCCCGTACATCAATATTTTCCGCGGCACTTGATGGGAACAAAGCGCGATCTCCGGCGGCTGCTTCATCTCGCGCGAAAGCTGAAAACGATCGCGCGGGAAAACACGCTTCGCCGACACCTGTCACGAGCACCGATGATCCTCTCCGTCGCTCACCTCTCATTTTCAGCCGATTTCTCGTATTTCGAGTACTTTCCGTACTAGTCGTGGCCATCGCCCGTTTTCACGCGCCCTCTGGACGTGATTGGAACTGACATTCTTCGCGGCGACAGAATAAAACAAAAATTCGCACAATCCTATTCGAGTAGGGAACATATTGTATTCAAGTACGATCATCGTATATTTATGGCAACATAAAAAGTAATCATTCTACGCTGTACAGTCATTTACATAAATCATTTCCCGTTGACGCTTTTGCGATATTGTAAATATTAGCCACTTCTTCATCAGAAAGTCCGATAAATATCTCGATTTTAAAATTAATATATAGTGACACACAACAATCTTGATCATTAACCTAATTATAATAGTCAATTAATATACGAAACGTTTCATTTTAATTAGTAGTTATATTAAGCAGATTTATTTTATTAGTTTTAATTAAATGGATTTATCTGTCGATAATTTAAAGATGAAGTTGTAATAAGCGCACTTACACGAAAGTACGATAATCATATCACGCGAAATTTAGGACACGTCGAAATATGGTTCATTGATTTTATGTCAAAATGGTGATGATCACATAATTGCATAATATCTATTTCGGATGATATGTTATTTACTTCGAGTGTCGCAATGCCGATTGGCAGTGTGCATTAAAGCGGACATTGATAATGTATCGCTTTTAAAATGATACAATGTTACAAATTATTCCGCGCCGTAATATCAAATTTGTGTTCATTAAATTATGTTAATTATTCGAATAACGACCGTATCCGATACGCATGCATTTTTCGTCCTGTACCTGTATGTCGCGGCCGAGCCGAATTCCCAAACGATCTCTTAAAAACGTAACGGCATGTATTTATGAACAACAGAGGACTATTATGGGATGTGCCTTCGATGATAAAACATACGTTAACATCTAAAGTGTGACGTAAATGATCACTGGTGCGTTGTCAAGGAATAAAAATACAAAAATTTTACATAGGATCATATCATGTGCACATCCGATATTACGCCACCTCTGTATAACGATTGACGTATTAAATGGCAAAAGTCTACACGTTAGAAAAATATTATGTTTATCATACCTGAGCGTCTTGGCCGTATGTAAATTCGAAGTTTCAGCGATATGACTCTGCAGGTATTGATTCAAATCCCCGTACTCGCCGTTTTCCAATACAATGCACATGGGATCGTCCTCGAGGCTGGCACCGAGTAGCCGCGCGACATTTCGATCGGCGAGTCGTACCAATCTTTTTGCTTCCTGTTGAAATTCTATCCTGGAAAATACATGAAGCATGCGGAAGTAATATCTTGATAGGTGCCCACGATACCAAGGTCATGAGTATTGAATACGGACGTGGATATATACACCGGAAAAAATGTAGAGATATTCCGTTCCGATATCGTTCGCTTGTTTCTCGAAAGCTTTCGCTGTCTCGTGAAAGAACACGACGCAAAAGCGAAGGCAAGGAGGAAACCCACCCGGCAGGATTATAGCGCGAGTCACGAATAATAACAACCACGAATAAGAAATTGCAACTATTGTGCTGCACGTGTGAGTAAATTTTAACGAAAGCATGATATTAGCCGTTAAGCTAAATAAATATGAATTCGACAACAACAAGATAGATCTGATAGATCTGAAAAATTGAAATCTGTCTTTTTGAATTTTTGACACTCGTAAAATAATTATCTCTTCATACTATAAAATTCAAGAAATAAAAAATTTATCATACAAAACGATTAATGAGTTGATTTATATATTCGGATGATTTCAATTTTATCTGATCGTAAAATGTGACCATTTCATAGACATTATGGTACAAGATAATTCCTAATCCTGTAATATTTGTGCAGTTATTAAAAATTTGCATTTTTATATTGACTTCTGCGCATTTGTATAGACGAGCATGCTTTTATTTAGAGAAGAACACGAATATAAATTTCAGATAAATGTGACGTATTATAATATTGACTTCCATTGATGAAATACGCATTTGGTCGATCAGCATGCTTTTGTACGTCATATTAATTTTTGAGAAATATTTTAAGAATCGATATATTTTTTTTCACCGGGTACGCACGCGCGATGTAAAATTATTTAATTGAAAATGTCAACACGGAAAATAAAATCCTTCTTGCAACGGGAAATTCAATCGTCAGGCGACAAGATGTAATAGGATCAAAAAACGAAAATCTATCAAGCAGATTGGATTGACAGACTTTTTCGGAATGTCTGCCATAGCCAACTGAAGAAAGAGCGTGGAGAAGAATAAAGGCCGAGGATGATCGCGCTCTAACATGAGTTGCATCCATTTCGTGGGCTTTTCCCAGTCAGCAAAATGTGTTTTGTAGACAATGCTATTCGTGATCCTGTCTGCGGGGATAATCCTTTTGCTACTGCGACAACACGGCGTCGGACCGATGAATCCGGTACGACGCGCTCCGCTGCCTCTACCCATCTCTATCGGCCTATTCCGAGTGAAAATCGCAATCGTCCGGCGAACAAAACGTTGTTACAGAGACATCGCGAATGCAATAAAAGGAAAATCTTTTATTGGCTGACATAGTGCTCACGGTTGAATTGCAAGAATCCTCGTTCACGTTCGTCAATTCACATCGTTTTCATATTGTATTCTTAGGTATTTCTTGTAAAAAAAAAATAATTTCTCTTCAAAGTGAAACAGTATCGAAGCATTACGCTGTATATAATTATGTACAATGCGAAATGCGAGACATTACTCGCTGCAATTTGTAATTTTTGTAATTTTTTCCATTGTATTTTATATTCATTATATAGATCGTAAATAATTATTTTCTTTGCACGATATTATTCAATAAAATTAAACATATTGCGCCGAGTATCGTTGTAATCAGTGGTTGCTGGTTTTCAAATATTCCAATGAAAAATCTGGGATGAAGCACGTACAGCGCATACGCGCTGATTCGCTAAGTAGGTCATAATGGTGGATTTAGATGGGAACGGGATTTTCGAAAATTGCGAAGCATAAATAACATTCCGGATAAACAAGATTATTGACAAATATTTCATGTCGCGCCCCCCCCCCCCCCAGAAAAAGACCCTTTGAATACAGAATATTTTTATGTTTCCAATTTTCTAAAGGTGAGAGAACTCTCTTTCCCTCTTTTTCTCCCTCTCTCCCCGCTTTATGAAAAATTATATTGACGCGGACATGCGCGTGCGAGCACGGACGAGTTATTCGATTACATGCCAATCATCGATCGCTTAAAGCCCTTCCGCATTATCCGGCCGCATCTACTTAATGCGCGTAGCGTGTCATTACATTCGGAATCACTTTGCGCCGCTTTATTGAATTACGTCATTAACACGGCGCTCTATAATCTATTGAAATAATTTTCTATCGCTATACGTACTACTTTCTTTTTCCGTTTTTATTTGCTATTAAGAGCAATTATTTTCCGAGAATCAAAGCGTAACATACATTGTACATAAACATATTTGCTCCGATGTTGACGTTGTACTTTAATCTTTTTCGAACGGTAGAGTCAAAATGTCAAGTGATTTTACAGTATTTAGTAGTTTTAAGTATGTAATAATTAATGCACTGCATCAGGATAATGACGGTAATTGCTAAAATTTAAGTGTTACAAAATTTCACGTTATCATATTATATTACGTTAAATATTGTTATCATTCATATAAATAGTATCGAGTATTTGTATTCGTAAGATACAAGAATAGAATATATGTCAAAGCACACGATGACTTTTCATTATAAAATAGATAATGTGCTAAAATGAAAATGTTGAGATGTCAATTATCATTTGCGACCGCTGCTGTATCCTATTGATTATGAAAATGATTATTCTCCTTGCCAAAAGGCCAAACATTTAATATTCATCTCGCTTTTATATAAACTTTTATGTCACTTTTAAATCAGAGAAAATTTATATACGGTTCTTACCTAAGAGCATCAGAAGAGCCTGGTTTTAAGGATTTAACAATAACTAGATCGCTAGTGGTGTTCCTGAAGATCTCGTCATATCCGGGAAACCTGTCAACTTCGCAGAGGTGAACGTCGCCAAAGTATCCGCAGCCAAGATTTTCAACGATGTTGAGCTTCTCCCGTGGAAAATCAAGGACGCACTCGGGTATTTCCTCCTCTTCCTCAGTGAGCATATCCTCCGGACTGTAGCTAGTTATGCTGCTGGAAGCTTTTGCGCTCATTGGTGGTGGTGTACTGGGCGTCGGCGAGGGTGGCAGTGGTGGTAGAGGACTCTGCGATGATACACACGCGAATTCAAAAATTATTTCTTCTCGAATTAATTTGGTGTATCAATATGCCATATAAATATATACCGAAGCAAATACTTGTAAGCAAATATTTGTACTTTTATTCGCTGGACGAAATTATGAAATATGAAAAAAAATATGATATTATAAATGAAATGGAATAAATATTCCTTCTTTTCTATATATCAAGGAAAATATTTTGATAAATATTTAAATAAAAGATAATATTGCGGCTCATAATCACGATATTACTCTTTTTCGATACAATCTTGCTTTCCCGTAAATTAATCAAATCTGATAATATAATCAAACAGAAATACACAAATGCACGCTCCCCCTCATAGAACTACTATAATCAATAACCACGCCCTTTACATTATCGCTCTATAATCTGTGTATGCCCACGAAAGATGTTTTCTTCGCGCTAGTTATGATTGATAGTGCTCCGTTGTTTCCTCGTTTTTCGGTCATTAATCCTCATAATTCACAGGATGAAGTATTTTGCGTCGTGCATATTGTGTAGAGTAAACAACCCCGGTTGAAAACGAGATTAAGTCGGAGTCGATATACATATATAATACAATGATATACGCCATTAAAATATATTTTATGCAGCACGTAATTATCATAGTCCGTATAAATATTTCAACACTATGAAAAGATTATTAATCATATGTTATTTCCATTTATCTTCGTGAAAAAATATTTGATACTTATGCGAGCATTATTTCCGTGGAAGTCGCATTCATATTGCGCCATAGCGGAAATATTACACGTATATTTGGACAATCTTACGGCGTAGAAAATTGAAAAGTCAAGCGGTATAATATTCGAATTAACCTCGTGATTTACATAAGCTCCACTGGCCGGTTTCGCAAGGTTGCCTCCCTTTCGGCGATCGTGACGGAGATCCGACGGTCACGAGATGGTATTTGACACAGTTTCGCGTTCCGAAGTGCTCGTGTTAATGCTAGAGGAGGGCTTAATCGGCGCGGATCGCATGTCTACCGTACATTTTTGCGACTCACCTTACAGATCTCCGTACTGGCATAATACTTTTCCGGCGGAGGTGGTATGGGCGGCGGGTTAGATGGATATTCTTGGACCGCCGGAATTGGCCTGGCAAGATTGATCGTCGAGTTAAGCAAGAGCGGAAGAACCGGCTGCACCTCGTTGTTCCCTGTCCGGATGACGCGAGAGCGAAGCGGGAAAGAATCAAGAAATTCGACAAAGTTAAAAATATAATCACAACTAGTCGTCGACGAGAGAGAGAGAGAGATTGCCGCCTGCAAACGCCTTCTCCCGTTCCCTCGCGTTGAGTTTCCAAGTTTCGGGAGATCGTTACCATTTTTTAATGAGACTCCGTGCAAGCGCTGCGAAACTCCAACGTCGTCCAACTGCAGCAAATGAAGTTTTTTCGGAAACTCGGAGAATGAGAGGAGGAGAATGTCTATTTCAATTTATTACGGTATTGTTACGATATTGTTACCTATCACACTTCTCGCACACGCAGGCTCACTCATACGGTAATCGTGACACATTCGTGGACACTCGCAAAATTAGACTCCCGACGCTGTCAATGGATCATAGCGTTGCTGCCGTTACCGATAATAAAGTTAATTAATCAAAGACCTCAATCTAATTCGATTAAACAAGGTCGCGCGACGCAACAAACAGTCTCTCTGCGGACTGCGACTCCCGCTGTGTCCAGCAAGCTGTGCCAACTACGAGACGCAATGGAATAGTTTGTCGACTATTCCAACTACGTCGTGCGGCCGCGGCAAAACCAGGCGCAGAGATTCGAAACCTCGGCTTGACCGTCACTTGGGACAGCCCGTTAGAATTCCCGCGATAACACGAAACTATCCATGTCGAGACGAGGCAAAGTCAGCGAATGCAGAAATGGAAACGTCTTCGGCGAAATTGAACATAACCGAGACGCGGAACGGTCAATTTCTGACTGTTACCGTTGCTGAAAATAACAAATTAATTTCAGACAAAATTTATAATGTACAACAGACTGTCAATTATCGGTGAGATTGATTAGAAGAATGAAAAACAGTCTGTAAAATTTAACAGTATATAAAAATTTTTTAAAATATAGTAACAAAAAATAAGGCTGAAAACAATTATTTTGTATTATTGGCGAAAGCGGAACAAGTTAAGAATCTGCGAAGAGATTGATTCGACATAAATTCAATGATCTCTTAAAAATCTTGCAGCAATTATGGATTTATACAAAATCTTCGATACGTGCGTTTATTTAATATGGTACCTTATCGATAACCTTTCTCTAATCCCGACTAACAACGAACCGAATTGTAGATACGAGCGGAAACGAGTGTAAGTGTGACTTTTAATATTGATACCAACCGGTGTAATCCGTGGTTTTGTGTAACTGCGGCGTTGTTGTGCTGTAGGTGGCTGGATGATATTGCGCTGGAAGTGGGGGGCAAATTGGCCCCTTGTCCTCACCCTCCTCTGGCACGGAGACCTGCGACCGAATATCGAGCGTTATCATTAATGCACCTTACATTTATGCACACGCCGACCATGTATATCGCGCGGTAAAAGCGATATACTGTCGGTTACTCTCTCCTGTTTTCCGCTCTCTCCCCCGCGACCCCCTGCTCTTGCTCTCCTCAGTATATTCATAGCCGACGAAACGAGGAGACACAGCGCGAGGTCCCAAGAGGTTGGCGCCGCGTCTGGTTATTGTGTACCGAAGCAGCAAATACCCATTGGCCTATCGACTTGTTACGTATCGCCGATTGAGTAATTTTATTTTACGGCACACGCTACCGTACAGTAGACAGATGGTGGAAAGTAGCGCAAGCTTATTTTTGTTACCGATAGAAAAGATAATGCCGAAATGACTCCCTAGCCGTTCGCCAAGCTTCGTAAACATGCTTCTCTGTTGTTCGTTTCGATATAATTTGAATTTAAATTTTATGGATATATTTAAATATTACGAAATGTTTTATTCTTCAATCTGTGTCAATTCTGAAAGTCGTTAATGTATTTTCCATAATGTGGTATCGCTCGCATTTACATACAAATACATTAAATTTATCTGGAAGATTGTGACTAGTATATAATATAAAGCAAAGTAATTTGAGAACAAGAATGAGATTTCTTTCTGCTGTAGCTGATAAATATATCAAATCTTCACGTAAGAAATTCAATTTTAGGGTCATGCAAAAGGATAGTTAAAGAAAGATCATAATGAACATTTGTCTCATTGGATTTCTCAAATATTTAATAGAAATCACGAAACATCGGTATTAACAGCAAAGTACTCTCGACGTTGTGGCGTAAGTTGCATTTGCGTTTCTCCATTAACGGGATTCGTCATGGTAGCGCGCTTTCATCTAAAATGCGACGGTAAAACCGCGCGGGTGCCCACCCGTAAAGCTCTTATCTCGCGTCACTTCCTCTCGACGCCTTTATCTTGGTTCACAAACCGTACGAAAGTGCACGAGGGTCTGGACGATCGAGCCCGACATGCCACCTCAGGAAATTAGCAGTTTTATTATAACAAACAATATAGGGTGCCGCAGACACTGGGGGGATGTTTACGTCGCGGCTCCTCGTCACTTTTCTTCGCACGATAAGACAACTCGCGGAGATCGCAGGAGCACGACGGCTGTTGTATACAGTGTGCGCGCGCGTGTATGCGTG